GGACCGATGGATCTGAGAGCCATTTGTATCCTGAAATCTAAGTTTTTTTTTTTTCTTGGACCAATCAGCAACAAGCTTGGTGGTTTGAACCAAACGAACGCATACGTACTTCACCCGAACAACCGTGTTCCGTGCGCGATGTGAACGTAGCGTTCAAAAAACGTAGCAACTCACGATTTTTTGTCCAGACTCCGAACCGGATCCGAGCTTGATGTGAACCTAGCTTTTAAGTACAAAATATTATTCTGTTCCGTTGTTTTGAAGATTTCGTTTCTTTAATAATATAAATCAATATCACTAAAATTTACATAATTGTTTCAAAATATTATTGAGAATCTATAATCGCTTGATAATTATGATTATATACTACAGAGAATAAAAAGAACTGAGAACGAACCGACAAACCGATTGTTTTAATGGGCCTACATTTCTATTCATATTACCACTTATATTAATACTGGGGTTTTATGAAAGACTCAAAACACATTAAAATGTTAAACAGAGGCGGAAAATATCCCTAGGGCAACTATAAATCCTGTCTCTTATACACATCTAGATGTGTATAAGAGACAGGTGTTCTAATAAATGATATAAATACATCGTGCAGCATATTTCACTGTATTTACCTTTCTTTGACGATTTATATATAATTTAACAGTGTTAATGGCTATTTTGATTTATATTATATATATAATATAATATATAACCTGTCTCTTATACACATCTAGATGTGTATAAGAGACAGTATATATATATATATATAAGAAATGTTCATTGTATTAAGACCAACAGTTTTGTTCAAAGTACACTATTTCTTTTTATTAATCTTGGATGCAGCATGCATTTCCATGATGAGTGCCACTGTACCAAAAGTGGATCCAATAATTGCCGGGAATGGACTTTCGCACTTCTGAATTTTAAACTATTTGTTATACCGTTATATTGTAGAGTAATGGGAATATTGTTCTAAGTTTGTTTTTGCCAGTGACTAATATCTAGTATCGATGTAAGTTTGCGTCAGGAAACAGACAGGCCGTCCCCCCCCCCACTTGCCGGACAGAGCTTGTCGGCAGTCAGACCATAAAATATATAAAAATAAGCCCACACCAAGCCAACACATGTCTGTCACAACAATATGAGAGTGCCATTTTCGGCCATCCAAAGGTTGCTATTCTTAAAAAAAATCTCATTTGGGAGGGGAACCCCCATCATATTCACAATTTTATGCTGTCTCTTATACACATCTAGATGTGTATAAGAGACAGACTTAGCCCCCCACCCCAAAAAAATATATCCTAGAGCCGTAAATGACTGTACGTTACGCCACTGGGACAATGCTGATTTTAATAATATATAGACTAACTCTTGTAAATAATTGTATAATTGTATATTCTGTTTTATTTATGTCCTTCAATTATTTTATATTTTGTTTACAAAGTGACGATAACAGTATCTTGTATGGTAACAGCAATTAAGTAGGACAAATAATTTCCTGATAAGAAAATGTTTGGTAAACCTGGATGGTAAATCCATATCAGCACCATATTTGTGGAGGACCTTCAGTACTACAACTATTGAACTATAATTTAAAAAAAATAAACATAATAAACATTTGTTATAATTTGTTATTATTAGGCTTTCTTTTCTTTTTTAGGCGTAGCATACAACTTTATCGATCGTTAAATATCAAATTATAGATTTCAAAATGACATTTCACTATACGTGTGTACAGTATCAGAAGATTGGAAGTTCACAACTCACATACACACGGGACGACTACAGTAGTTGGGATATAAATTTTCTATAATAATTTTAATAGAAAAAATATCAAATTTTCTTGAAACAATTCTTGACATAAGAATCAAAATGTTTAGATGAAAGTTAAAGATGATGATGTATTTTTTAAATCGAATGTACTATTGAATGAAGACTGCAAACATTTAAAGGTTACGTAAACAATTTGTTTTTAAAGTTCTCATCTGTGTGGTTTACGGTACTACCGTATTAAACTTCCTTTAGACGGGTAAGGCCTGTTATCGTGTATACGATAACAACATATTTTAACAAATCAAATCAGATGACGTCATAATCATGGTAAAACGATAAAATTGTTGCTATTACTACGATTTTAATGTTTTCCATGATTATGACATCTGATTTGATTTGTCAAAATATGTTGTTATCGCATAACTGATAAATCGTTGTCGAATCTTTTTAGTGTAAAAACTTCTCTTATTTCTTTTATTTTCTATATAAACAATCGTTTTTTAACTTCAAGATGAAGATTTCTCTAGTTCTCGTTGCAGTTGCTCTATTTGTTGCTGGAGGTAAGTCTAATCAGGGCGTTCTTTATATTTTGCTATATATTAAGTGAACACTTGGCGTGCCGAGTGTTCATTTTAATGGTTAGCAAAAATAGCATGGGTTTTTTCGTTATATATTTATATAATTTTTTATACAATATATAATTTTTTATATAATTTATATTTTTTCATATAATATATATTTTTTATATAATATATAATTTTTCATATAATATATAATTTTTTATATAATATATAATATTTTATATAATATATCATTTTTTATATAATATATATTTTTTTATAATATATATATTTATTTACATAATATATTTTTTTTTATATAATATAAAAATTTTTATATAATGTATAATTTTTTATAGGCCTATAATATAAAATATTTTATATAATATATAATTTTTTATATATTATATTATATATATAATATAATATATAACAAATTATGTATTATATAAAATATATAGTTTTTTAATATAATAATTTTTTCTATAATATTTATATGACGAAACGTTTTCGATCAGAGGCTGATGAAACCAGCATTACCCCAACAATCAAACGAATGAAAAACAATAAATCAAGGTTGCATTACATTATTAACAGCTTTACAACAATATTTAACTGTAATAATTTCAATCGTATTCGTTTATGTTTTATATATTAAATTTAAGTTAAATTTAGAACTCCGACCATTACACAGAAGATATAACCCATAACTTGTCATTAAACATTCTATCGATATTATACATCAAACACGTTCGATTTTTTATTCTATCAGTTAGGCCTATGTCCGGTTAATCCAGGGAAGTATCCAGTGGGGCCGTGGGAGCCGCGGCTCCCCCACCCCCTTTGTACACAATGTTAAAAATTTAAAGCTTATTCTTGAGCCAATACAATTTCTTTCCGGGATCACTCAAAATGAATACTTCTAAAACATGTAAATGTGCATCAGTACACGTTATACATAGGCCTAATAGAACACATAGGCTTAAATCCATAAATCTCAGGCCAGGTCTTTTAAGATAGAAATGCGATACCGTGGTTCAATTCGTTTTTATCCTTTTGCAAGTTTCTTTAAATTTGTGTTTAATAATACTACTACTTCTAGTAATAATAATAATAACAATGATGATGATGATGACGATAGTAATAATTGATAATAATATTAATAGCAATAAAAAGTGAAGGAAATTGTGCTAAATGCGAAAAGAAAGTTGTGATTTGTTGATCATTATTATAGTATATATAGTTAAAGCTTAGTAAGCTATAGTTAGGCCTAAGTTGTCCTGATATTAAGTAGATCTTTGATAAAAGATCATGAAAAATTTGTTGGCGTTTCATTTTGACTATAATGGTGATGTGATGATAATGAATTTTACTATATAAAAGTGTCATTTCCGGCCATCTCGAGAGGTACTATTTCCTCAAATTTTCTCACCTCAGCCCCAGCCATGGTGGGGCTGAGGTGGTTGTGAAATCACGTTTTTGAAGTAGG